TGGCCGGGTCCTGAATTGTGTTCCAGTCCCCTCCCAGGACTAAGTTTTCGTCATTGGGAACAAGCAGCGGTAAAATTTCAAAAAATTGCATTTTTTCCCTCAGGTCCACCGGGGCGTAAATTGACATAAAGGACCAAGTTGTGTCCCCTATTTTTGCTGTAATCCAGACCCACCTTCCCATGGAGTCAGTTAACTCGTCTATCAGCTCAAAACAAAGATCTTTACCGACCAAGATGGTTGTACCACCTTTTGTACCATTGGTCGGGGCCCAAAATTGCGGTCCCAGCCACTGCCATCGGTTGCTGTTGATTTTCTCTTCGTTAAGTTTAGTCTCTTGAAGTAGAGCGACCTGGATTCTCTGCTTATGCAACAATGATTTTAAACGAGCCCATTTTTCCTTCCCATTCGAGTCCCCCAAGCCTCTCACATTCCAAGAGGCAACTCTCAATTTAGTCATCCTTATGCATCGCCCCTTCTGATTGGACGAGGGAGAGATCCGGGGTGGGGAAGAAGGAAATATTCTTCTCCTCCATATTGCTGTGTTTTTCATTGTTCACTCCCCCACTGATCGAGCAGCTGAGACCCAAGCTCGACTTCCGTCTCCTTTCACCCCCTTCCAAAGAGTCCCCTTTCCCCCCCCAACGTACGGACAAAGAGGAGTTGAAATGTACCGAGAACAGGTTAATGTCTGCAGCTAGCAGCCGGTTATATTCTATGATTACGTCACCTGACACCGCGTCTGCTGTGTAGATCATGTTCGAGTGCAGAGATCGTTCATCCTTGGCCCATTCCATCGGGCACCAATATGCATGCCCTTCCTGTAAGACTGCTAGTTCATGTTCTGTCGGTCTAGCATCAAAGGCGGCCAGGAACAGGTGCAATTTCCTTCCCGAGGAGCCGGATCTGGTCAGCCTTCTCGAGCTCTATTTTGGTACAGCCCTCACAGCCACATTCTGTCCAATATAGTTTTTGATCTTCTCAAGCATCTGGGCTTTCGTTGGATTGCTGTTAACCGAGTAGGGGGTAAGATGTTTGAGGATGGATCCCTTGCTGTAAGTCAAGAAGGTAATTCCCTCCACCGTTTTTCGAAAAAATCAGTGGAACAAAGTATTTTTTGATATTGTGAGTGCTTAAGTTCTCCTGCTTACGATTCGCTTTGGATATCAACTTTTGCCCCTTCTCTGTTGTTTCTTCCTTATTCAATTCAATTCTCCCTTTTTTGTCTTTGGGACTGCACAAATCATCCGCAGAGCCCGATGAATCGTACCACTCCTGGGAGTTGTCCGCCATTACATGCGACTCATCATCATCGTTGCCCTCACCCATGGTGAGTTCCTCTGTTGAATCCTGTTTTTTACCTTCCCCATCGGGAACTGTGGATTGAGTGGTCTGTTTATTGTGACTTTCGTCATTAAAAGCAGCATTGTGAGCACCAGTTTGAATTAGCACCTTCTCTGTATCCTTAATTAGCCCTCTGAGGCTATCCCCTTTGCTGTTCCTTGCTTCTATCACTTTGGCTGGCGGCTTCATTGCAGTGTCGGAGGCCAGGGAGTGTTCAGTCCCATGAACAAAGTTTTCTGAGTCTCTGTTTACAGTGAGGGACACAGGCTCCCTGTGAGATTTGGTCTGGTCGCTTGTGTTGTTGTTCTGGCTAGTTGTGCTTGCTTCGTTTCCCCCCCCAATCAGGTTGTTAACTGGAGTGATCTCTCCCTGTTGACCAGTCAAAGACAGGGACTGGGTAAGGGGGGGGGGTGACTGTTCCCAAGGAGGACTGATTTGTGTTTGGCCTTGTGTCCCCTCCGACCGTCCCCTGATCCTCTGAGCCCCGTTGAACTTCCGAGTTCTTGACATTCTTTCCACTCCCCAATGGGACAGCCCCTTCTGTTTGGACACCTCGTAAGTTCTGCTCCTTGTTGATTTTCCTCCATGATGAGACTCTAGAGTTTTGCCTGCAGCCAAATGAGCTTGACAAATGAGGGTCTGCCGCAGCGGAATCTGTAGGTGGTTGCAGTCCCGAGGGACCCAATCCCGTGCCTCGGGAATATTGACTGAGTGCGCCAGCCAATAGACCGTCCTTGCTGGCGACGGTGGTAAACGAGTCAGCTCTTTGTGCTTCGCCTCCCCAGCCTTTTAGTTGCCTGGTTGAGGAGATCCCTCTTTGCTTTAATGTGTTGATTTCGAATTCAGTAGGAATTAGCAGATTTGTTCTTTCATCGACTCCTCCCTCTACCGGGCAGCACTCTGACTGATGCCCTGCATAGTCTCTGCAGTGTTGGCAGTAGTCTGTAAATTGGGTGACAATTCGAATATCCATGGTGGAGCCATCCTGTTGAGGCCACTGCAGGTCATTTGGGACTCTGTCTCTTCTGTCCCTAGGAATGTCAAACTTTACGTTGTTCAGTTTCGACATATCTTCGTACCTCTCCGGCGGGTACTGCTTCAGGACTTTGCCTGCTGCAAAATCGATCGCTGATCTGACCCATGGTACAACTTTATATGGCACTCTCAGTGCCATGACCCAGATCTTACTAATTGATTCTTCCTCACTTGTTTTTTCAATCTCTTTCGGAGACATCCACCTTTTGAAGCTCAATTTATATAGGGTTTTATCAATCTTCAGTTTGTGGGATCCCATGTTCAGCAGGAAGTCAACAGTCTTCCTATCCCGGGGGTAATACGACATTACATTTTTACCCTCCTGGTGCACTCTCCCTCTTTCTTTATGATGCAGACAGGGGGGAAGGATCAAATCTTCCAGGGATCTTATGCAGCGTTTTTTTCCCTCAGCTGAGAGAGATTTAAAAGCCCCCTGGAAGAAAATCATGACAACATGCTCCTGCAACCACTCCTCTTGTGTTGCTTCGAAGTTGGTCAGGGAGATTTTGACAGACTTGCCCTACATCTGAAACTTAGCAATCTTTGAAGTATCTGGGATGACCATCCGGTCATAGCATTTTTCGAGCATTCTACGAACGTCTTCCACTTCCACTACCATGTTTGGGTCCTGTTCTTTCCTTTTCTCAGTGTCCATGTCGTCATCATCTGATTCTAGTTCCGATTCTTGTTCATCCGCAGGCCACCATTTCTGCCTTTCCATTTTTTCACTCCCTTTTTTAACTGATTTCATAGATCCGTGGGATTCTGATCGCTCATATCTTGGTCCCTTTTGGATCGTCTGTCAGCCCCCCATGCCCCTCGGCTTTGCCTGTTGGCAGGAGTGGCCCTTCCAGTCCCTCCGCCCCAGTACCCGCCGTGAAGGTGAATCCTTCTTCTCCACCCATAGGCCCTCCCAACTCCATCCCTCCTTTCTCCCCCTCTATGTCCATACCTGTTCCCTCCCCATGTACCCCCGATTTGCCCTGCATTCCCGGAGTGGTTTGTTCACTGTTTTTTTGTGTCTGAGTTCTTGCCCAGAAGGGAGGGAGCAATCCCCACTGGAATTGAGTTTGCTGGTTATTCGTACTCATGGCTGCAGGTTCCTTGTAATTTGCAGATGGATTGTTTCTCGTAGGCAGCTGAATCCGCACGTGATTTTGTCGCCCCACCCTTATTGTGACCGTATTGATAGTATCGTCGAATCGCCGCTGATTGGATACGCTCCAAACAGTATAACGAGCTACGAGGTGGTTAAACTGAAGACTGGTATCTTTGTCTCAGTTGGACGGAGGACCTACCTCCTGACCTGCGGCTACGGGTTAACCCTCGGCCTAGTAGAGCTTTAACAAAAATCCGCAAAATCTTGTGTCGCCCGACGTGCAGCGGTCCTGAAAACCGACCTGCTTTACCTAGGGCTTTCCGGAATGGTCGGGCCGCTTTCCTCTCTGGTCGTTCCACCCGTGAGTGGCAAGTATTACCGTGACGTTTCTCCGAATTTCGCGTGAAAATCTGTGTTACTAATGTACTGGTGGGCCCCACTCGGGCGGGTCATCCGCACGGATTCGTGAGGTTAAGTGAGAACACAGCCTGCCGAGCGCCTAGTACCCTAGAGTGTTATAATCCTAGTCCTAGCAGCCCACCCCTTTTTTCGCAAAAGTTGGGCGATGATCAATTAGTAGTGTCCAGATCCCACTGGCAAAGAGGATTGGAAGAAGTGTCTGAATCTCTACATGTTCCACGCCCAGATGCAGATAAGTAGATCAATCACAAATTCTCGCACCTGTCGACAAGCACGTCCACATTCAGACACTTACTACAATCCTCTTCGCCAGGGGGTTCTCGCCCTAACAGTAGGTCTCTTGTGCGAGTCATTCGGGGCCAAAGCCCCAAGATCGTATTTCGCAGATGTCAGACTGGGATTTTAAGAAACAGACAAGTTGGACAGGGGATGACCCTTCGAACCTTGCAGGGAGCGTTATACGCCGTGAGATCCGTTCAGTGGGCAGAAACATCCACCTGTGCTCGAAGCTTCAGCGGACAGAGATAATAGGACAGAAGGACAGGGTGCGGGTGAGTGTTAGTAGCAGAAAAGTTCAGAAGATGAATGTATTCGGACTGAGGCGCTGGTTATGTACAGAGGGAAGGAAAGCGCTGTGTGGTTAGGGACGAGAAGTACCTTTTGCCTGAAAGTCGCTGCCGCCTTTGCATCACATAAAGAAAACGCCCGAAGTTGCCCTTGTCCACCAGTAGCCATATTATGCCAGCGAAGAGATCTAGATTTGCCATATCCCTATTTCCATGAGAAGGACGCGCGTGTCGCGCGTTCTTCGGTTCCATGTGTTCGTAGAGTTCGAGAAGTCCCAGAAGTTCCCCCCTCCAGCTATGTTCCACCTCCCCACTTAACGCTTTGGGACAGTCCACCTCGTCGTGTGCAGAACAGCTACTATGAAGTACCCAGCTGCTGCCGCTCGAGACTACCGCCTCACCCGTGCTTAGTGCTCCGGGCCATGGCGGCTGGCCATCGCCTTCTTGATACCTAACATGACGAAACCGACGCCACGTGCATTGTGCGCTATTGCGTCCCCGCTATGCAGGTCCCAGCGTCCCCCGCCCCCGTTGTCGTTTTTTTCCCCTTTGCTTGATTCAGGTTGTTCTGCTGCCAAGAGCTCTCCCACCGAGAAATTTAGATTTTTTCCTGTTTTCCTTTTTAGGACTGTCTCAGCAAAGGAGTCCACCATTAAAATTGTGCGGTTATCAGACAAACCAGCCAATCTGCCACCACATGAGCGGTCAGGCCAGTCAAGAGCCTGATGCTCTAGAGAGTGTCAGATTGGGGGGTAACTAAGTGGGTAAGCTCCACCCAGTATATTCTCAGTTTGTCCCACTTGGTTTTCTTATCCGTTATGTGGGTCCGGTCTAGGAAGACTGGTTTCAGCCTCACCTTTCCATCATCTGGCTTATCCACCAAATGGCGAGCCATCTTAGGTTCCGGGAGGATTCCGACCTCTCCCAGGTTCTGCAGTACTTGAATTTTAACGAGGTTCAACTTGTCAATCATCACTGGGGAGAGGGAACTTGCAGCAAGATGGAGGGGAGGAGCAGAGACTCGTCTTTTCCCATGATCTCATCAGGACCTTCACCGCTCTCGTTCTCACCCCCTCTGACCTGGAGTTTCAGACCATCTATCCTAGGACGCTTTACTGAAGAGGTGGTTCGTGGTACGTACGACCGAGGAGTGTTTTCCTGAGGAATTATCGCGAGAGGGGAGAAGATAAAAGGGAGGGTCGTATCCCCCTTATTTTCTTCTTGCGGCTGCGTTATATCTTTTTCTTCTCCTTCCTCCTCTGGTTCATCAAACGTACCTGCAGTCCGGGAGAAGAACTCTAGTATTGGATCTTCTTCCTCCTCCTCCTCCTCCCCTTCTGATGGTATCGCCCGTACTTCTTCTGCCTCGTCCTCAGTCAGAAGTAGGATCTTTTTGTTCTTGATGGCCAAGGAATTCACTCTCAGTCTACCTTTGACTTCTTCATCCTCATCGGTCAAAGTCTCATCAAATACCCCGTTGTTAAAAATTGAGCAGTTGATTTGCTTTCCTGTAAGCATGTGGGACAATGTCTTCACTGCCCCTGCCGTTTCACCCAATATATTCGGCCCAGCCCGTTGTTCTACTATTTTTGATGAGAGGGGACCTCCTTCCTGGATTCCTTGTTGGAACTCAGGAAAAGGAAGGCTGACTCCCTTCTTAACAGGGGACATTGGCTAACCAGTTGAAGGTTGGGGGGGGGGGGGGGGGGGGG